AGCATTTTTTCCTGAACTTGAATTGTAGCCTGTGGTGCTTCCCTAATAAACCCCATAATCTGTGAGCTCTGTGTGCCACTGCAGTGAATTATCGAACCCAGGAGAGAGGTGGTGGGTGCTTTGGGAGGAACGGTTGAAGAAAGGGCTGGAGGGAGGCAGCATGTCTGGCCTCGCAGAAATAGGCCTTGGGCTATTGATGGTGATTCTGTCTTCCTCTTGTGGGATTAGAGGAGGTCAGAACATGTGGCCTCCTTGTTCTTTTAGCAGGATTCTAGGTTTGGTGCTGAAAAGCACGAGAGGATCAGGTGTGTGAGGATCAGGATGTAATGAGCTAGGTTTGCATCATTGTTTTTCTTAAAGGGGCAACAGCATGAAGTAAGCCTCGAGGAGTCTGGGGCCAGATTGTGGAGGCCCCTATAGACCAAGAGAAGGGTTTAGGCCTTTGTCATTCGAGCTCTAGAAATTGATGTGAGGTCTCAAGTTAGAAAGAACCTTGAGGAATCTAGTCCAACTTACTACTCTTACCATTCCCAGCGTGTTTATGGAGAGTGGCCTTCCTACTGGAGGTGAGGAATGTTTATCTCTGGGGTGAGAACTCATAACTGGAAGTGAAAGGAGTTAGGTTTTAAGGTGCTTGGAACCACGCAGAAGAAGCTGACAGGAAGGCAGAGGCCTAGGTGGGTCTAGAACTCGGCTGAGAGGTCTGGTTGCAGGAATAAGCCTGAGACTCAGCTGCAAAGAAAAGTGAGTGTAAAGGCAAGTGTGGGTGGGATTGCCCAAGGAGGGGGCAGAGCCAGAGCAGAGGAGAGACTGGGACAGGGCCTCACGAAGGGCTCTGCTGATGACTGTGTGGCAGAGGATGGGCCTGCGATGGAGACAGAAGTTGTCGGGGAGGAAGTGTACTGTCAGCATGAATGTACATCTGTTCACCTGATTCATTCAGTCAGTAACTCATCAGACATTTGACAGCCTGTGAGTGCTAGGCACTGCTCTAGGCACAGATACAGCAGTGAACAAGACAAATTCCTAACTCTCATGGAATGAACATTCTAGAGAGACAGAGAGTAAATAAATAAGATCAGATTAGGCCATTTGATTTTTGACAAGTTACATGAGTAATTTCTTTTAGAAGGATTAGTACAAAACTGCTTCTATGAGGCAGACATTAAAGATGTCC